GGGGGGGGGCATTTTCATTGGACCTTGGCGCCGGCGGAGAAATTGGAGGTGATGCCTTCCTTGACGATGCTCACCTCCACATCCAATCCCGCTCTAAGCAGCACGTCGATCCAAACTTTTTGCTTCTCCCTAAGCCTATCTCCCGGTCCCTTGACTTCGCAAAACCTCACCTTTTTCTCCTTCCAATTCCAAACGACCAGGTCGGGCATGCCGGCCGTCATGTATTCTTCGCACATCATTTGGCAAATCACCGCTAGACCCTTTCCACCCACGCACTGTGCGATCTGCAATAGATCCTCGAGCGGATACGTGTCCCACTTGCAACCTATTGCCCAAGTTTTGCGCTGCGATTCTCGTTTGTGCACCTCCTCCATCAAGTCTAGTCCGCCCCTCTCTTCGATCAGATGCAACCTCTGCCTCACCTGAGGCGCTCGAGCAACGATGAACGAATCCTCTCCTATATCCAACGGTGCGCTCTGATACGCCGTCTCGAAGGCGCCCGGAGTAGGCAAGAAGATGACGTCCCACATCAAGAGGGTGAAGAGCATGCTGATGATCGACCCTTCGCAATGATAGCCCGAATAGCCTTGCATCGAGTAGTGCTGCAGCACAAGATCTTCGACTCTGCAAGGCTCCGAATCTAGACCTCTCCAGATAGAAGACATGGACTTGCGCTCGATCGACGTCGTACTCCCAGCACTAGAAACTTCACCCACGCTAGACCTGCTAGATGCAAACGAAACATCTTGCACATCACTTTCGTCCCTCTCCGCCTTCTTGGTCCCCTCGGCATCAACCGGGCTGCTAGTGCTTGCATCTCTTTTGATCCCCTTTCTATTCACTCCCACAGGGCTGCCGGACGTATCCGCCTTCCTGGCGACGTGCGCACGTTCCACCTGGATCACTTTCCTCAAAGGTGCTCGTTCTTGGAAGCCAGACAAAGAATCTCCATGGCTCGACAAGAGGCTCTCATTCGAGGCCGACCGTTTAGGAAAACTTTTGCCACCACCAGCAGATCCCGACGTTCGTCTTTGACTAGGCATTACGCTTCCAAAGATTCCCCTTTTAGGCTCCATGGATGCCATCGCATCAAGTCTTGTGCCTTCAAACACGCGGTCTCGACACGTGGCGAGTTTCGCATAGCTGAAGTCGTGCTTCTGCGAGAATGGAATGTTGAGTTGATTCTCCAGCCTCGTGATTCTTCTTTGAAGCGTATCGTGGTAGATCAGATGAGTATCGGAATCTTCGATGCCTTGCACTGCCACCTCCAACGCTCTCATCTTTCCCCTTTTCGCGTCCCCATCCGCCGGGTACTGCGCCAGAATGAGCGCCAAACGATCGTACCAATCTCCTCTTCTACCTCTTCGAAAGGCTCTTTGAGCTAGCAAAGCCCTCAGCACTTCCTCTTCCCTCTCGTACAGTTTGAATCTTCCGAGCAGGTGCGCGCCCTTGTAGACGATCCTGGTCAAGGGCCAACCAGGATGACACCTCATCTTGTGGTAGGTCATCCTATCAACCCCGTCCGGATTCTGCCTCTGAGCATCCTCCACGCACTCTCTCCACTCCTGCCAAACCGATTCGAAGATGTTCAATCCCTTTGCGAAGGCCTCTTTGCTCCCGTCCCACTCGATCAGCTCGTCGATGGTCACTTCCAGTTTCAAAGCTTTCTCCATCGAGATGAGATGTTGTCTTGAAGCAAAGAGCGGAGCTGTCCTTTGATGTTGGTACACAGGGTAAACTCTTCGCCTGCTCCGAGCCAGTACGGCAGTGGTCAATGCCGACCCTTCCGACTGAACCGTCGCGCGATAGTAGACTAGCGCAAGACGAGCTATCAAGCTTCTGGCCAAAGGTGCCAAGCGTACACAGTCGCCTATAATGCTAGACATGTGCCATTTGAGCACGTCCATCTGGGAAGATCTTTTGGCCGGCATGTGTGAGTCAGTAGCAGAGACTGGCTTGGTAGGAGAAAAGTTGAGCTTCGTTTGACCCTTGATCGGAGCAGCCTTGTTGCTGTGGGTCGCTGACCCGCTCTTAGGACTTGGTCCAAACGAAAAGGTGCATTGGGTCCGCGATTCTAGCAGAGTGGCAATCGCGATAGCTCGAGTGTTTGTATCGGAGCTCCTCTTGCTGCCCATCATCTTGGCCAGCCTCTTCAGCTCTTCCAAAGTAAGCAGCTCTAGCGAAGCGTGCACGTCGTCTGGGTCCATCTCCTGTACTCCGAGGCAGTAGTGTCCCATCTTCTCCGAGTCGTTGCTTTGCGATGCAGGTTGCGCAGAGCTGTGGGATACTTGAGAAGCCTGCAGAAACACAGGCTCGCACAACTTTCGGATGGCCCCTGCCAAGTCGCCACAATCTCGCTCCTCGAATCGCAACCTGTCCGGCCGTTGCCACACATCCCGACGTTGCACCAACCTGGCAAAGACGTAACGAGGGTCCGCTGAGAGTGGAGATCATCCAAGAGTCAGACTTTCACGCCTTTTGAGAGCGCAAATCAGATCTGCGCCGTCCTGCACTCACATGGCAATTGCTGATACTCTCTGAGCATCACGACTTCGAGAGGAGAAAAGAGATATTCCTCCTTTTCAAGCACCGCGTCGATCATCTCTCCCAATATGGCAGGATACATGCTCTCCCCGGTCCTCCTGGAAGAGGCGCTACTACTCGTGCTGGAGCTGGATAGATCGCTTGCTGATCGGTCCAAGTCGGGCTTTGGTGGAGAAGCGGGCTGTGAGGCGCCACCGTCGCCGTCGGCAACGTCACTGACATTTCTGCACGGTTCCTTGGAGTCATTCCCAACACCACGCGGGCTGGATCGGTCACTGGTATTTGTGCGCATGCGCTTGCTATCTCCAAAGAGGGAAGCTGAACCTGCCGCCATCTTTGAGAGCTCGCCAAGCTGCGGCTGTTGCAAATCGTTTGCTGAGCGCTTGATGGGTCGCTGGTCGTCTACCAAGCAGAAGCTGCTGCTATCGCTGATCACCTGCTCCATGATGCGCAGCGTACCGGTATGCGCGGTCCTTCTTCCGCTTAAGACAGTCGCAGTGCCGAGGGACGTGGTGATGGTGCGGATTACATTTGGTGGAAGAGACAAAGAAGAATAAGTCGTGAATGTGTTGTTCGGTGCGCAGAACAAGTAGCCAGTTGATATGATAGCTGATGTGGAAATCTTGAATCAAATACTAGGTCGACTGGATGCGCTCCGTCGTCACATCAATCACGTGAATCACGAAAAAGTCAGCTCTGTGCACTTTAGTGGACTTGAATTCGGATGCACATCACAAATTGCCGAACACTTGAATAGTATTTGGTACTCAGACTCGTGACTCCTGACTGTCAGGCCGATCACGAATCACGAATGGTGAAGTTTAAATCGACTCGTACCATGAGCGAGACCGAAGGTGAGTATCTCGATCGATCGTGACTTGACGACTCAGCAGCACACTCGACTCAACGCGCAGAAACGCGTCGATGAAGCGAAACCCGCGGCCGCGCGTGTCGGTTGCGCGTTGGACCCTCTCTGCATCAACCGCGATGCTGTGTACAGTACGGTATACGGCTGAAAGACGCGCGCATCGCGGTGTGTTATACCCGCACCGCGTAACTCACGTGATTCAAATCGTGAACTTAAGTGATATCATCAAAAATAGGTCATGGTGCTGGCATACTCGCGCTCACGACACACTATGCCCATACATGGGACAGGCCCACACAACTCAAGATGCTCGGACTAGCGAGGATGTTGATGATGGGAAGGCAGGCAAAGCGCGCGGCGTGGCCGACAACAGTAGTGGTATCACAGCGCAGAATCAAATGAACGCGTGTGGGCGCACAGCCCTGAGTCCTCTCTGCGGCCTCTCATACCCACCAGGCGGCAGCCAATTAAAATCAAGCGTCAAGTCTGTAGCATGCATACTAGCACCAAACCATTTGATCGGTTTGGCCAGCTCACACCGTCAATAGGACAACAGCGTATGCAAAGCTCACGGCTGTGGATCAAAAGCTGCTGGCTGGATGTAGCTGCATCGGCAAGCATACGCTCGCCGCGGTACCGCTACTTCGGGTGCCGTGGGCGCGCGGTGCCATGGTCAAGGACAAAGGAGAATCAACCAATGGAGCAGGCGCGTTGCCCAGCGTCGAGCCACACCGCGCCGCCAACATCCGGCGCTCCATGTATATACTCGTGACTCATCATGGCTGCTGCAAGGCGACTCTGACTGCGGCTTCCCTTGTCGTTCAGCCGCGATTGCGCAGCATTGCCTTCTCCATTCAATTCACGACTCGAGGAGGAGGAGAAAGAGGAAGCGGTGAGGCGTTGCTTCCATTGTCCAGAGTCACCACTGGCAGGATGGTCGAGCAGGTCGATTGACCTATTGCGTGTGTTCATCTGCTCTATCCGTCGCTAGGCAGTGAGCTGGTTGCCTTTAAAGTACAGTGCTGCTCGCGATGGGCTCCCTCGCACCGAACCCCTGTTCTCTCTCCTCGTCTATGGTTGTCTAGAAAGGTTGATTCGGTCGCGCTCTCGCTGCCTCGAACGCTTGATTCAGCTTGCTCTCCTTCGCCCGTCCTCTCGCCTCACACACACACACTCTTTGCCCCTTCACTAATACTGCCGACTGCCGGCTCTCGCCGTAGAAGCACCTAGCTTGGAGGGACCATCGAGATCGTCTCTTCCCTCAGAATACGGCTGGTCCGTCATATTCAAGTTCAACTTACTCTGCTCACTGCTCTACCTGACTCGGCCTCAACCCGCCAGACACGATGGGCAAGCTGAATCTGGGTCTGTTGGTTCCAGCCATGATTCAACTATCTTCTCTTATCATCGTCTTGCTAATTCTCATAAGTCCAGCACCTTTCAATCACAGCAGCATCAGCTTGTTGCGCATCGAACCGTTCAACAAGACCAACAGCAGTAGCGTCGGCGATTCTCCTGCAAATTCCAACACTGGGCAGAATTCAACCGTGTACTCGATGTCATTGAACACTTCCAACACCACTTCAGCGCCCGTGCCAATTTCGACGTCAAATTTGAGCAACGCACAGACATCGGTGCCCATCACGTCCATGACCACGTACGCCCCAACAAGTGCATCGATCACAGCTGCTCCGACTCCGGGTCAAGCCAGCAATGCGCGTCCAACGGATATGGTTTCAGAGGCGGTGCAAGAGTCAAACGAGAAAGTCAAAGGTGCTGCTCCTGATTCTAGCGCATCCAACATCGTGCATCGAAGGGAAGACATGACCAAGAGACCCTTTGGCGTGCTCAATTCAACACAGCCCTACATTCAACCCTCGAGCTTGTCCAGAATTAGAGTCATTTTGGGACCGTTGGGATCGTGCACGATCGACGCTGATGGAAATAGACGCTGCTCCAAAGCTCTGCTGCTTCCCGCTTTCAATACTGGTAGCCTTGCGGCGGATCAGATAGGAGAGTACGACTTGCGAAGCTTGCCGAGCACCATCAAGGCTATTCCCATCATCCTCTTGGTCGTGCTCGTCATTTTCATCTGTTCTTTCGCTCTTGCTTTGCCACCCCTGCTCGCTGCATTTTTTCCCGCCAAATTTGGCTTCCTGATGCAAGCTGGACCTCGTGAGAGAGCGCTTAGACGAGCACAAAAGTGCATGTTGTGGGTGATCATGTGCAGCTGGATATTATTGGCAGCGAGCGGCATAAGTTTGCGCGTGACGTTCAGCTCTGCAAGGACCGCATTCAACGCATCCAACATCGAACGATCATTACCCCTCACTTCGACCAAAGATGCCACCTACTCCAACGTAGGTCTACAAGCCGAGTTGGGAAACGCTTTCACACTCACGTGGGCCACTTTGGGCTTGTTGGCTGTTCACATGTTGATGGAAAGGAGAAGGATGAAGAGGGCAGAAGCTGTAGCGCAGGCGAGAGCGGATGTCGAAGCTCAATGGGGTCGCAACGTACTAGAAGCAGGTCAGAGCCTCGTCAAGAACGCTTCGGGTCCCTCGGCAGCGTTTCAATCTCCTCCATCCGCCGCCGCCGAGAAAGAAGCGCAAAACATCGTCATGCACAATTTGCCCAAAGCCTCGACTTCGGCCTCTTCGATCGGCTCGGGCTCGGGCTTTGCTGCGAATCATTATTGGATCTCGAGCTCCAATGCGCATATCCAGTCGCCTGGCGCCCAGCATCACTATGTGCACGGATACGGGCTCGGACAAGCGCCGTCCGTCTTTCACACTCAAGAAAGGGAGTACCTATGCGATTCGCCCGTCCAGATGAGACGAGCGCACTCTCCACCTCCTTTCGAGAGGTACATGAAATCTCGTAGAGAGAGGGAGTGGAGAACATCAAGAGGCGCAAAGCGCGGTGTGACTTGCTCGCCTGTTCCTACAGAGAGCGCTTATGAGCACCATATGCGATCTGTGGAAGATTTGGATCTGGGCGCTTCTGCGCTCGCGTCGGAAGGACATGGATTTGGAAAGAGCGATTGGAAGGATCATCAGCGCGGTGCTTCTTCCTCTTCCCATAGTCATGCAAATGGTCGATCGGTCCATCGCAAGGCTTCCTTCGAGTCGTGCCAATCCAACTCGCATTCCATCTCTCGAGGAATGAGTCCCGCTCCATCTTATTGGTCTCAAGCTCATCAGACTTCGACTTCCCTGGGCGCGAGCTCGAGCGCCGAGATGGAAAAGGCGAGGGAAGAGGCCAAAGAGGCTAGAGCTAGGGTGGAGTGGCTAGAGAGAGAGTTGAGGGAGAGGGAAAGAAAGAATGAGGAGTGGAAAGAGGAGATGAGGAGAGCGGAGAGGATAGAGATGATCAAGAGGAGACAGAGAGGTGGATTGGGTTATCACACGTAGATCGATCCGCAATGCTCGTGCCATGCTGCTGCCCACTTTCGCTTGTGCCTACCGCGGTCTTCGAGCAGGTATATAGCGTTTCAAGCGATGCTCGAGCCTGCGGCCGTCCAGAAGTCGCATTGCAACCCTCGCGCGAATCAACAGTGACTTTGCGACTTGTACTGTACTCCACATGACGCTCACTCATTACCGATGCTTCATGAGTCATTAGCAACTCTAGTCTGTGCGTCAGTGTGTGGAGATGCCAAGGGATGTTGTGACCCTCGCTTTTTCTGCGCTCAATGTATGCCTTTTGAGTGGCAGCCCACTTGCTCGACCAGGAAGGGCTCTTTGCACACATCTTGGCTAAAGAAGGCAATCCGGAGAGCTTGCAAGACTTAGCTGTGTTCATGACATCGCACCGAATTACAATCGTAAAACTTGGGATCGGCCATGTGAACGAGATCGAGATGAGGAGAAGAGGATGGCAGGGTGATTGCGACTCTCGATTGTTCACGCTTGCTCCATTGCCCGTGCTTTAGACTCGATCGTGAGGATTGTCCGACGCATTGCGGAGCTGCGCGCAATTGTGAATTGTGAATGTTTGTAGACAACGTGCTTCGGGCAGCGAGTGCGGCGTTGAGCTGCTGGCCTGCCTGCGTGCAGCCTCACCAATTCGTGATATTCGTGGTTTGTGCTGATTCGTGATTACCGTTGCATGCGATGTCACGCATTCAAGATTACAGTCGAAGTCACACTCACACTCACACTCACACTCACACTCACACTCACAATCACAGTCACAATCACACGGACATCACTCCATGAGTCACAGCAGTGTTTGTAGCTGAACACACCGCCGACCATTCTCACTTTCTCACTTCCCACTCACAATCAACAGGGCATCTATCCCAGCAGCAAGACCGGACAGGAAGCCGAGCCGATCACCTTCTCGAGCCAAACGTGCTACCTCGCCTGCACATCTGTGATCCACCTTCTCACAAAGAATCCCATTCCGATCTCACCTCGTGCACCTTCTCGCACCACCCAGACGATCTCGACATGTCTCGACCGGTGGGGTCCGAAAGGTGGGGCAAAGGTTGGGTCTCACCTTCCGACATAAATCCCGACGATCGTTCTCCCCTTCCTATACATCTCGGCAACGGTGCGGCGTGGTCTAGTCAAACGGGCGGAGCAGTACCGACGAGGAATTGGGCAGGTCCTTGGCCCATTTGGCCCGCTTCCCTCAACAAAGGCAAAGGCAAAGGAGGCCCTAATCCGGAGAGTTTTCATAAAGGAGATCAGTCGGTTGTGGATTTGGCAAAAGATGTTAGGATTGAGAGCGGTAGGACTTGGGCTTGTTTCGCCACAGGGCCTTGCCACGCTTGTCCTAGAGACGAGGTGAGTGTCGTACTAGTTAAGGCTGCAGTGTGAGCTTGACAAGTCCAAGGCAAGCATGTACTATATGCCTGATGCTGCTCTACAGCTCGTCGGTCTACATTTGCTGCGCTTGGCCCACTTTTTCTACCATCAATCTAATCTCTCACCCTTGATGCCATATCAGATTCACCAGCCTTGGTGCGAGCCGTACGGCGCTCGCAGGCCAATCGAGTGCGCACTAGTCACCTCGACAACATCCACTCGGCCCTCCCTCAATTCTACCGGCTCATCTTCTTCATCTGGTACAACCAAGGATCCCTTACCGCTAGACACGCGCGATTGGAACGTTCCGCAGCTGGATCCCTTCGCATTCAGGCGGGCAGATGAGAAAGGAGGGGTCAGTCATGCTCCCCTTGTGAGGGTGGGATACGAAACTTGCGGCAGGGATGTGGATGCTACGAGAAACGGCTGGGTCAGCTTTTTGGTGAGTTGACAATGCCAAGATGGTCCAGGTGCGCGACTTGCGGGTACGGAGCAGAGCGCAGACAGGGGGCGCATCTCTGGCTTTCATTGGTCCCTCTTCATGACTCGTAGCTCATTTGCGTCTCTATTGATCATCCACCATAATCAGCTGCTCGACCTGTTCTTTGCACTCGGAGCACTCTTTCTCCTCGTGCAGCGGCAAAGGCTGCTAGCTTCGAAGCACCGCAATGTCCTTGCCAGCCGGGTAGGCAGAGGCTCATCGCGAGCATGACGCACTACTGTTCATTCCTGTGCCAGACGATGCATTCCTGAAATATCTTCACTGCACAACCCTGGCGGCAATTTTCGCATCGCTTTTGCAACACTGATCAGACACGATGAGTGCACAATTCAAAGCAAATGGCGCTGCAAACAAACATACGCGTTGCCAAATCGATAAGAAACAGATGGTGCGAATGCGAAGGTAAGAGAAGAGAGTCGATCGACCGCATTGAATTCGAGAAGACTTTACCAACCACCATGGGCAAGATCCATTGTGCCGAGCACGATCAGGGCAATGCCAAGCGGCAAGATACCAAAGACTACCAGAATGTCCTGGTACAGTCTCCTGTTCCTGGTCCTTTTCTGCAGTTGATGTTCCTTTCTAGCCAGCAAAATCCTCGTCGCTTCATCGCTCGAAAGAGCTGCCGTAGCCTCGTTCTGCCAAGTCGGAGCCGAGCTTGCGTGATCCTCAGAAGCTTGCCCCGCAGGCGGTACAATGCCTCTAGTGTCCAAAGAATCCCTGTACCTTTGCGAAGAAGCCTCGCCATTCAATAAAGGTTCGCTTTCTCCCTGTTGCGCTCTTCTGCGGTTGCGTGCCAAGACGCTCAAGGGACCCATGAACCAAGCGCCGGCGCTCTTGCTCCAC